TGTCATTTCTGTCACCCTCTCTCTCTCTGACACACATACATTCTTGTCTTGTTATGTAATGTTGTGAGGTCCATGTATTTACTGTCAGATTTCCATTTATGTTCAACCCTTTTTATGCCCTAACCCTCACAATAACTATAAACCTAACCACTAGCAGTGCATACCTAACCTTAACTTAATTTCACACCGTAATCCTAAACCTAACCTAAAGGAAAAAAAGCAAACAAATGAGGACCAGCAATAGGTCCTCACTTTGCCACCGTCTTATGAAAATTGACTCGAAATATCTGTCTGTAATGCTGGATTTGTAATGTTTTGTAATTTGTGTCTAAATTCAGATAGCTGCCAATCTGATTATTACAAATTCAAATAGGTTGCTACATATACAAACTCAACTACACAGGTCATGTAAACCAACTGTATATCCACAGTACATAAACACTGCAGTTAAGTATATATTTACAATTTTCTCAATCAACTGTCTTCCTTTTAGATCAACTTTTCACACTTAGGTGCTTGGACTTGTCTCTATAAACCCAATTAATTACTGTTACAAAAATGTTCATGGAAAATGCACAGCAAGCAGTTTTATGGATGCAAAGAATCTATCTTGTCATAGCAGACAAGCTCTGGTTACCTTTTGCAGTAGGATTTAAATTAATTAGGACCTTCATTGTTTCTTATATTAAGTTATCCTTTTTTATTTTCAATGCTTAAAAGAAAAAACAAAGATTAACAATTTTGTGGCTAAATCATGAAAAGCTATTTCAAAAATGTTATACATTTTTTAGGTACCTTTTTTCAAAAGATGGCATGTAAACATTTTTTCCAATAATCCGATACCAATGTTATAGTTGGAAAGCTAGGGCTAATTCACACACAAGCTAATTTGATAGGATGTTGGCAGGTTTTACTGATATCCCACTGAACCACATAAAGCTGAATACAAAAAAAGATCCCTACTCCGACACATAAACCATTTCAACCACTAGTCCTAAAAGTTCTTAACTGTATCTAGGTTGATATGTTTTATAGTAAAGCCACTATAAACATTTAAGCCATGCCAATCCCTGACCTATAGAAGGCAGGCAATAAAGGTTGGCTGAACTGATGGTGATTGTACTCTAAATGATAGGGTATAATTTAATTTCATACCAAAATTAATTTCCCAAAGTTGTTTGACTTAGTTAGAAATGGCTTAGTTAAAATTTCCGACATTTTAGGGACTATATTTGATACTCTCAAATATCTCTTTTTCTTATTGTTTTTTAAAAACCAATTATGCTTAGTGGAACAAGAGGACACACTTGTACATCTAATTCCTCCTCTAATTTCTGATTCCCCTTTTATCCTTTCCTCTCCGTTATAAATAATGCACTGCTTGTCATGCTAATGATATCAAAAATCTCCAGCTGTGCCAGCATTCCCGAACCACTGGAGGTGTCTGTACAGTTTTGACTGGTTAACCTTTTTTTTTTCTCCATCTCATACATATTTAAAAACCTCAGCACCACTTAATATTTTTATTCTCTTTTCTGTGGCTTGATTTAGATACCACAAGGCCTTTGTTTTGCGTTATACAAACATTTGTTCGACTCAGCAGATGTAATGGCTTTAATCTGACACCATGTCATCAGGATTTAATTAACACCCTCTGAAAATTGTCTGTTGGTTTGTTTAATCTTTTTTTCCCCTCTCTGATTGATGTATATTAATAAAGATCCATGAAGGTTGTGTTGGCCAAGAATCACCTGTATCTGCTGGCCTCAGTGGGAGCTAATCTGTTACTCCAGAGGCATTATTGAAGGTCGTGAAAAGCTCATAAGAGCATGTCAACACAGTGATGGCTGTCAGTGCTGGCAGCTGTCCCCTGGTGTGTAAACACAGAGAAGGATGACGCTGAGTGTAGGTGTTAAATATTAACCGCAGGACAGTTTTAGTCAAACATCATCTTTACATATTCGCATGTCATGGCCAGAATTCATTAGTTTATTTGTGAACCTCCCGATCATTCTGGCTGCTTTCATGTCTGCCACTTATTCTTATACTGCTTTTATAAGCACTTTATATATTATGTATATTGTATAATATATGGTGAGCAAGCTGTAGTTATCTGCTGTAATCCGGTTTTTGTCTAACAGGATTATCATCTGATGTCATAGGACTGAGGAAAAAAAAGGATGAATACTGTAGCTTTTCCCTGGTTTGAGGTAGAGAGATATTATACTGTCTTTACAGCCCAGTATATGATGCCCCTGAGGTAAAAAAAAATACAATAACAGCAACCATTGTTTTTACAGAAAATGCAACAATATCAAAAACCATAAGCGTACTTTTTCACAAAACTCTATATTTTCCAAAGGATTCCTACCGAATCGAACATCCAACATAAATCACAGAAAATGTCAAATTACTGCTTTTTCCTAACCAGTTTTTTTTTTCTGTTGCTGTTTTTTCTAATCCGATACCTTTGTTTGTCCGTATTTTATTCCTAGTGATAATATTTGTTAATAAAATATATCTTTAACTGTCATAAAGTTTAGTTATAGAAAAAAGTAAGCACCACTCCACATTATTTTTTAACAATTTTTTTTAAAAGCAGAAAGTTTTCTTTATGCACTTTCCTTTGTCATTAAACCTAGAGTCAGACTCACTGAAATGTAATGTACCTGTTTAAAATCGCACTTTAGATTACAGATTTATAAAAAGCATCTGCTTTCAGAGTTCAGTCTGTTGGCTGGAAAAATGTGAATTTGTTGCATTGCAATATTCAGTATGCTTACAAAGAAGTAAAAAAAAGTAGACTTCTCCATCAAATATTTTAATCTTTGTTCATGAATCCAGTTATATTAAATATTTTAATTGGGAAATTAACATACTCTATGTATAGTAAAGACAACCTTTTTCACACCAGGGGAAATGTTTTTTCTCACTTTTTTTTTGGTTTTACAATTGATTCATAACCTAGAGGCAACATGACGAAAAAATGCTTTCATCTTTTTTTTATCCAAAATTTTGTTCTGAAGAAGCCAGAGTATATCATTCTGTGTTGTCCATTGTTGTTAAGCTTGTATGAACTCTAGAGTTGGTTTCCTGTTCTTAGAGAGGCTTCAAAAAGCAAGATAATGGTGCCGATTTCTTCCTCCCCTTGAAAGGCCCCAATGTCGCAAAGATAATCCTGTTGTGTTGTTTAAGAGTGATCGGGTCTGGTCAAGCAAATGTCTGGACTAATTTATTGTGTATTGAGAATTACAACATATTGAATTATCTTGGCCCAAAGTTAGTATTGTGTGTGTGTGCTGTCCCAAATCAAGACGATCCAAGGTTTCACACGCTAGAGTTAAAAAATCGGAACTTCTGCAGCTTGACGCTACTTATCAACCATTTTAAGAAGCTGATCTGTGATCTCTTCATCTGGAGAGCTGTCAGCATAAAACAATGAAGCAAGAGTAACAAAGAATATATATAAAGGGGCTACATCCAACTTAGGTTTACAGAAAATACCAGGAGAATGTATTTAATTTATGTACAAGGAAAGGTGAGAGGACTGTGACTATTCCTTTAAAATATTTTACTGAACTTTGGTGAAAGTTTTTCATTAATATGCACTTTATCTTAATGTCAAAACTTACCAGCAAAAAATATTCGATTTTATATTTTGATACTTGAGGTTTTCACAATCAAAGAAAGCCACTTTATATTCACTTCAAGCCCCTACAAATGGCTGAGTGATTAACTGGCTTAATAAGGCTGTCACTGGGTAGTCTGTGTTTCTGCACACCTGATGGCGGGGGTCTGCTACACGGAACAACTAGAACATAATATTTAAATGTAGTGGGAGTATGATCCTGATGAACTGACGAATGGTGTTTTGGGGTGTACTTTTCTTGCTTAAAAACATCTTAAAATTTTCCGCTTGTGACAGTGAAATAAAGTATAACCGCTCTCTTGATTTCCTCAGCCATTGCACATAGAGAACTGCATTGCACATCAGATATGTCTGTTCGCATGTTGCACGACAATATTTATGCTGAAACGCATCTAACTTTAATGTGCACTAGCGTCTGAGTGGAGGCCATTGATGGCTTATGAAGTTAAAAACGTGTTCAATGTAAATTCAGCATAAACGATCTGGGTGAAATGAACCTGCTTGATCCCCTGTGCTTTTCCTGTTGCATGGAGACAACACATTGTACAACCAAAACTGTTCTATCCTGCTTTTTTATCATCTGTTTAATTATGAAAATCAATCGAGAATTTTGAAATCTTGCCATTTAAAAAAGTGTTTAGCTGACAGGGTTGTCAAGCGGTGCGGTTCTCTGCTGCTAATGCTGTTCCGTCTATTTGCTTTAACATGCTAGAGTTCAGATATTGTATGCATTTATTACTTCTTTTTAACTCCTGGTTATTTCAGCCATCATAGCATTTTTATCACCCAGAACTAGTCTCCTGTTTATTCTAATTTTTTTCCCCACACAACTTCTGCTTATTTGATAAGACCCACCCTCTCAACTTGAAAAAAAAAATGCACATGCAAAATCCTGTACCTGCTCCTAAAGGGAAAGCCTATTAAACGTGTGCAAGAGTATGCACTAACCCATTTCTCCATGTGGATGCTCTGTTTAAAAGTTGCAGTTTGCATCGCTCATACTAGCTTACTTTCCAAAAGAAGATTTACCAGTAAGTGAAAAGGGACGAGCACGTTGGACTGCCTTACGTAAACATATCACCAGAATGATTGATAATTAAGAGGACCCCTTATTTTGATGATCTATGTGGAAAAAGAACATCCTGCACTATACCTTTAAGACTAGCTTGTCTGTAACCATTCTACAATCGTACCTCACAATACTGCAAATATCAAATTTATTTTATAAGCAAAATGGAGTTCAGTTTCTTTTTCTTATCTGTGTTGTTAAACCATTAAACTGTCTTAATGCTATTCATTGAAAACAGAGGACTGTTAGAATAAAACTGCATGTTCTGCTTTTTGTCTACAGGGCCCAGTCAGAAAGTAACCCCTGGGTGATGCTGACCTCAGCTCTGCTGACCCGCTGCCAGGCCTCAAAGGGTAGATTAGACCTGGGTCAGGAGTTGGTCTCCATGGTGAGGTCTCTTTATAAGACCAAACACAAGCTCCATGTGCAGGTATCCAGCAAAAATGGTGCATTACTTTTTCTGGCTAATGTTTAATTTCTTATGGTTATATAGACTGAAAGTAGTAGCAAATAAGTTTGAAATAATTGTAATGAATATAGGATGTAAGTTGAATTTTGGTAGGTTGTTGAGACGTTGATTTACTTTTATGTGCCTGTATGCAAAACAAAGTATTGCATAATTATAATGTCTGCTTCCACCTGAGCTCTGGATCTCTGCATTCTCCAAATTAACAATCGGCTTCACTCCTCACTGATTTTCTGTTAGTGCTTTCCATACAAGACCTGTCAGTTTAGGCGGACAGCCATTGCAGTTATCCATTATTCTTTAAATTTTCAGATTTTTGTTAACACATTGCTGAGCATGATGTCATTTTTTTTTTTTTACCTAACTTCGCTTCTAACCAACTTAAAAACTTTCTCTCATTTTCCTTCCATCTTAAGCTACGTTCAGAGCACACGCGCTAGAGGCAGCAAAAGAAGCTAGTTTACATGCAATTTCAATGGTTGACGCACATCAAAGGTCCTGCAGTGCGTTTTGAGCAGCCGTAGCAGCATGTCTAAGCAGCTGAAACAACCCGTCATGAGCTTCTGAGCATCTGACGCACACAGCTCCCTGTGAAAGCAGCAGCTGCTGGAATTGAAAAAAAAAAAAACTTTTGCTGCGTGACGCATCAATCAATCAATCAATCAATCAATCAATCAATCAATCAATCAATCAGAGAAGCTGACCTGGGAGCTGGCAGGGAGAGAGACACAGCACTGCTGATGCAGATCGCTATGGTCACTCCTCTGAAACAGTTTATTAATGCCTATATTAACTTTAAATGTTGAAACCTGCAAAATATGTTTGATTTTATTATTTGGAGTCTGCAGTTTGGGTTACGTACGTCAAAAACTCTAACATCTCCTTCCAACCAGCGTGAACAGTAGAGGAAAACTGCAAAGAGGTGACCGGGCCAGAGGCTGCCTTTGAATGGGATTTCCAGTGACAGAGCACCGCCGGTCTACAGGGGTCTGAGCTGCTCTGACAGCAAAATAATATTTGAAGGCAGGATCATTATTTTGATGAACTGATTTCACGGTTTTCAGGTGGACGTGCTCACTTAAAAACATACTAAAACTACATTTTACCCACTTATAACAGCTAATATCGCATAGCCGCTCTCTGCCATTAAAAACAGGACCAGCAGAAGCATCGGACACATCTGGACAGACTTTACTGGACGCACTTCAGGAGCATCAAAGCTGCTCTTTACGCTCATCTAAACTTAAAGTGTACAAGCATCAAAAATGAAGAAGCATGAGCTTTTTGGCTGCTTCCAGCACTTGCAGTCTGAACGTAGCATTACTAATCATGGTGCTGTTTGTTGACTTTTTTTTCCCAGTAAATTAGTTTTTGCCTCCACAGAACAGCTTTTCATAACAGTTTTTAGCAGTATTTGAATATCTATATACAAATACAGGAACTACTAAAAGTAATTGGCTGCATCATGTTTTCTTTTGGGCTTTCAGACAATTGTGCACAGCTTTTGATTTTAACACTTCTGATTTCAAAAAAAGTTGTTGAATGTAAAAAAAAAATGTTTGGTTATATCATCAAAAATTAAAAACAATTAAATTGCTTATACTTTTGCAATGATGCTTTTCTACTCTTGAAAATAAATCATAACATGATGGAGTTTGTAAAATTGCTAATCTTAGCCTTGTTCTCTTGCTTGCGTTCCTCCTGCAACACTTTAAAGCGTAATGAATGTGACTCCTACACATTTTCAATCAGTCTTTTCATCTCAGTGTTGCCCTAAGGTTTTTTTTTAAATTCCGATGAACTGTGCTGCTGCACCAGCATTTTAACTCGTATCTTAATACAGGAGCCTGAAGCTATTAGTCATGAAACCTAAAGCAAGGTGGCATCAGCTCTGTGCATGTTGGAAAACATGTATTCACTAGCAGCTCTCTGATATGCGACGTCCTGCAGTGCTATTCATGCCTTGCTGAGCACTATGCAAGTAGCAGGCCAAAATGTCATTCTGTATGTCTAAGGCCAGCCTACTGTGATATTAGTTTAGCGCAAATGCTATTCAGCGTGAATAGGCTAGTGTCAGCTTTGCTGTCTGATATTACCATGGGAAGTAGGAGGGGGTGCAGATGGAGGTCTTTTACTCTGTTCTGAACAGCTTTAATTTGAATCTGCTGGAATGAAACTGCCAGAGCATGAGGGAGTCAGATTGCATTGTGTTATCCATACATTACCTTACTGAGCTGCAACAGGAGCCAGTGTATGCAGTGAACATCTGTTTATGCATAAGCCTTTATGGCTGTAAAGGATAATCCCAGTAATTAACTTTCACTTTTTTCCCTCTGTTTTTTTCCAACCTTTTTGTTCTCCTTTTTTTTATGCTTTTGGTTTGCCAATCTTATCTCACTTATCATCCTCTCCCTCTATCCTTTCATCTGCACCCCTGTCCCTCCTTCTTCAGTGTATTCGACACATAGCACACCTGCTGCTCCAAAACCAGCCGAGCCTCCAGCAGTCCGCCCTAAAACTAATGTCAGAGAGCGGCGATGAACAGCTGCTGCAGCTGACTCTGGATCAGATCAACAGCATGAGCGCAGTAAGTGTCACCGTAAAGAAAAAAAGAAAAGTCCCATGTTCATATTTTCACGCTAAGCAGGCTTTTCTGCATGGATAATACTTGAAATGCATTTTGATAAGTGTTCAATTAATTATGTACTTTGAAAATGCCACTGTTTTATAGCTTCACTGAACCCAAGATGGTGTTTAAGTTTTCTTGATTCTCTCAACCATCTGTCAGAGCCCAGATGTTTTTGGTTTGTAGCCATATAAAAAAAAGCAAAACTGAAGATAATCTTAAACAGGTGCTGGTCATAAAATTAGAATATCATGAAAAAGTAGATTGATTTCAGTAATTCCATTTCAAAAGTGAAACTTGTATATTATATTCATACATTACATACAAACTCATATATTTCAGATGTTTATTTTGTTTAATTTTGATGATTACAAATGACAACAAATGAAAATCTCAAATTCATCATATCAGAAAATTAGAATATTGTGAAAAGGTTCAAAATTGATGGCCCCTGGTGCCACACTCTAATCAGCTAATTAACTCAAACCACCTGCAAAAGCCTTTAAATGGTCTTTCAGTCTAGTTCTATAGGCTACACAATCATGGGGAAGACTGCTGACTTGACAGTTGTCCAAAAGACGACCATCGACACCTTGCACAAGGAGGGCAAGACACAAAAGGTCATCGCTAAAGAGGCTGGCTGTTCACAGAGCTCAGTGTCCAAGCACATTAATAGAGAGGCGAAGGGAAGGAAAAGATGTGGTCGAAAAAAGTGTACAAGCAAGAGAGATAACCGCACCCTGGAGAGGATTGTGAAACAAAACCCATTCAAAAATGTGGGGGAGATTCACAAAGAGTGGACTGCAGCTGGAGTGAGTGCTTCAAGAACCACCACACACAGACGTATGAAAGACATGGGTTTCTGCTGTCGCATTCCTTGTGTCAAGCCACTCTTGAACCACAGACAGCGTCAGAAGCGTCTTGCCTGGGCTAAAGAGAAACAGGACTGGACTGCTGGTGAGTGGTCCAAAGTCATGTTCTCTGATGAAAGTAAATTTTGCATTTCCTTTGGAAATCAAGGTCCCAGAGTCTGGAGGAAAAGAAGAGAGGCACTTCATCCACGTTGCTTGAAGTCCAGTGTAAAGTTTCCACAGTCAGTGATGGTTTGGGGTGCCATGTCATCTGCTGGTGTTGGTCCATTGTGTTTTCTGAGGTCCAGGGTCAACGCAGCCACATACCAGGAAGTTTTAGAGCACTTCATGCTTCCTGCAGCTGACCAACTTTTTGGAGATGCAGATTTCATTTTCCAACAGGACTTGGCACCTGCACACAGTGCCAAAGCTACCAGTACCTGGTTGAAGGACCATGGTATCCCTGTTCTTAATTGGCCAGCAAACTCTCCTGACCTTAACCCCATAGAAAATCTATGGGGTATTGTGAAGAAGAAGATGCAATACACCAGACCCAACAATTCAGAAGAGCTAAAAGCCACTATTAGAGCAACCTGGGCTATCATAACACCTGAGCAGTGCCACAGACTGATCGACTCCATGCCACGCCGCATTGCTGCAGTAATACAGGCCAAAGGAGGCCCAACTAAATACTGAGTGCTGTACATGCTCATACTTTTCATGTTCATACTTTTCAGTTGGCCAACATTTCTATAAATCCTTTGTTTTTATTGGTCTTCAGTAATATTCTAATTTTCTGATATGATGAATTTGAGATTTTCATTTGTTGTCATTTGTAATCATCAAAATTAAACAAAATAAACATCTGAAATATATGAGTTTGTATGTAATGTATGAATATAATATACAAGTTTCACTTTTTAAATGGAATTACTGAAATCAATCTACTTTTTCATGATATTCTAATTTTATGACCAGCACCTGTATACTTTGTTGTAAGGGAGACTGATATAAGAAAAACATGAATTTTATTAGATATCTGCCTAAATGACTGAATCAATTATCCTATTGGTTTCTGTACTTGATTATTTTCTACTGAAGAAGAAATCCAGAATGTGTTTATTTAGACATGAGAGCCACTAAGATAATGTTAACTTAATATGGTTTCAGTTTTTCTTTTGTGTTTTAAAAAAAATGCATTTTGGCAATTTAATGAAAAAGCTATTTGGGGCAAATTGGTTGTTGTATAATGATGCGGTCAATTTAATCTACAGATAAGGTGTTTAATATAAAATTCCAGGCTGTTCACTGTGTAATCTCCCCCAGTCTTTCTAAGACATACAGTTATTTTCAGCCCATTATGTTAGCTTTGTTTTACTTACTGTAGTAACATTCAGTAGTTTAGCTGCGCTGTTTTATTCTCTATGCATTTTGACTAATCTTCAATTAATTTGAGTTTTTCTTGCTTAAAGTGCACTTTTTCTACCCAAAATACAAAGAATACCAAACAGAACCCAGTCGAATTCAAAAGATAAGCTCTTTAAAAAAACATATAAGGTGCATATAAACCCAAAATGATTCATTCGCTAGGTGGTTTAAGTTAAATGCAGTATTTCATAACTGTGTTTTTTTTAAGAAATATGAAAAGCTTTTGACTCTCTGATCCTGTTCAGTGAATTAAAGGTTATCTGTCATAATTATTATTTTACTGTAGACATTCTTTTGCCCTCTAGAGCAAAATTGAGGACTTGCGCCTCCATCTTTGACCGCCTATATTCTATGTAATGTAGGTTAAAAAAATGTAAATCCCTTTATTGTCGCACAATGGGGAAATTCACTCTATGCATTTTGACCCATCCCCTTGGGGAGCATTGGGCTGCCATTGTGTGACACCTGGGGAGCAGTGTGGGGTTAAGGGTCTTGCTCAGAGACCCAGAGTGCAGGCTGTGGGGATTGAACCGGGAACTTGCAACCTTCTCAGAGCACAAGCACACTGCTCTAACCCACTAGGCCAGCACTCATCAGGTTATAATTATCTCATTCAATTAAAAATACATAATTTTAATCTGAGGGGGAATTATGTTTAATTGCTGCTTGCATGAAGGGTCTGCAGTAGTAGTCAGTTTTTCAACCGATCTGGAAAAGCCTTTGACTGAAAACACAGTTGTTGTTTAATAGTCCTCTGAAGAATTTCTTCAACATTTCATTTTAGCCAAGAAAAATAATGAACTACAGCTTTATAATAATTCTACAGATTTACCGACATCCTGCTTATTGTAAATATTATTTCTGAAAGGGCTGAGCCAGAGTCACAACTCAAATCTTATGAAGGAAATGTTGGAAGGGTTATTTTTTATTTTTTTAACACTGGACTTCTTGAGCAGTCATACACCACAGTAGCATCAGCAAAAAAAAAAAAAAGATTGTTTCATGCACAAGTAACATTGTAGTGAGGTTCTACTTGGGCAGATTGTCCACAGTGACCTTACCTCTTTCCATGTTTCATATCATACAGGCACTAAACTGAATAAAAAGGGAAGAGTAGAAACATTTTCAGGCCCCTTCATGAGGAGTCAAAAACCTAGCCGTTCTGTTCTTTTTAAAATCATCTTTAGGATGTCTTTGTAAATGAGCAGTGTTATATTTATCTAAAGAAGCCTTCATCCATTTGCCTATCGTTTTAGATCATTGCTAAGATAAGAAATAAAAAATGTGTGAGCTGCTCTCCATAGTTCCTCCCATCAGATAAGCAATTGTCATAAAGTATCCCCTCAGACTCTTCGACCCTTGCGACAGTATTAACTGTTGGAATCCTTATTAAATGAAATGATCAAGCTCCTGTTTTATTGGACCTGCTTTTTTATAACAGTGACATTAGGAAAGAAAGAAATGAAGTAAAGCATGGAGGGTGGTGAGAGAACCAATGTGATTTTAGACTTAAAAATTACAACATTTAATTAAAACAAGTTGATTAAAATCTTCAGTATGTCAAGGGTTTTAGTAGGGAGAGGACAAAAGATAACTAAGTTAAAATCACAACGACTGATTCCTTCTTTCTGCGTTGCTGTAATATTTTATTTATATATAGATTTAGATATACATAGATACAGATATAAGTAGATATAGGTAGAGAGATATCAGCCACATTGGATTGACTAGACCTATTTAACGTCCTGCAAGAGCATCCTAAAAGTATCCTAAAAGTATGTTTATTTGACTTAGATTTTATTTTGTCATTCTGTACACACAAGTGTACACAAAAAGAAATTGCGTAAGTACAGCTCTCTAGAATATTTCATTTTTTAAAGTGCAGCCTTGATAAAGGTAAACAGCAGTGATAAAAACATTGTGATGAAAAAAAACACTGGTGGAAAAAAAGTGATGTAAACATATAGTTACACTTACAACATTCAGTTTTTTTTACAAACCATTTTACATAACATTCAGCAGTCTAATGGCAGTGAGGAAGAAACTGTTCTGGAATCTGCTGGACCTGCATCGAATGCTGTGAAGCCTTTTCCCAGAGGGCAGCAGGGAGAACAGTTCATGGTGGGGGTGTGAGGGATCATTTATAATGTTACGTGCTCGGGACACGCAGCGCTGGGATGAAATGTCTTTAATGGAGGGAAGAGGGAATTTATGCATGGATTAATTCATTTATTTTTATGTATTTGTTTATTTAAAGGCCCTAAAAAGTTTTAAAAAAACACCCATAAAAGACACCTACTGTAAAAGTCCTTGAATAATTCTGTGAGTTTGAAATTTCACACTAAGGGCGACAGCTCTCAGTTTGTCTTTTTGGTTGTTACTTGCTTCTTTTTTGTGTTTACTATGTAGTAATCATAGCAAAATTGGGCAGAGCAGCAGATATGTCAGTGTGTGCAATCTTCTCCTTGTTGTCCAGTAGCTGTGAAATGCAATGCAGGGGAAATGCAAATCTTAGGATGCATGGCTTGCCAAAAAAACTACACTGAGTGCTTGTCAAGGGACTCAAAAATGACCTCTGCTTGGTGCAGAGTCTGCTGTAAAGCAAGTAGTCAAGTCCATGGGTCATGTTGCTTTGTTCAGCCAGTTTAGAGAGATTCGTCACAAAAAATACACCTTTGAAAT